TGGCCCCGGCGCCTGCAGCCGCAGCATCAGCTCGCGGCGCTCGTTCCGGCCCAGGCTCAGCTCCGCCGCGCGGAGGACCTTGCGCCTTCGTGGCTGCCCGCCCGGGCTCAGCTCCTCCACAGCCACGCGGCACCGCAGCTCCGCGTCCTCGCGTTCCGCTGCCGCTGCCAGGGTACCCGGCTGCATCGCCACCGCCTCTGCAGGTCTGCAAAGGGATCGGAGCACAGGGGTCACAGGACTCAAGGACATAACAGGTGGTATAGAGGCGGTGACGGGGAGCCCGGTCAAGGCCACATAGGATCACGGAGGCTGTCACTGGAAACAAGGAGGTCACAGTGATGGTAAAAGGACCCTGGGGCCAATTTAGGAAATTCACTTAGAAATTACTTTCCCACACAATAATTTCCAGAGCGGCGGGTGGGCAGCGTCAAATGTCCTGGATCTGGGGAGCCTCGGCTGTCCAGCAAGGGCCGCAGAAGAAGGGAGACAGAAAAAAAGACAGCTTCAAAGAGACCCAGGGACGGTTGGGGAATCCTCCGAGTCCTCTCCGCAGGAAGCAGAGGAATCTCACGTGGGGAGATGAGAAAGGGGGCGGACATGTAATCATCGCCTTCCAGGTGCGTTCACTGGTTTCTACGCAGCAAGTCAGGTCTCGCTATTCCCCGTGTACAAAAGTGGAAACAGGCTGGGAGCGGCCACACGCCTGGTAGAAGTCCAGGCTAGTGTGATTCCAAAGCCCTGGCACTACCCATCTCCAAGGTGCGGAAGGGGTAGAGTATTTGGCTAGGGGAATCTCAGGGGCCCCTGGAATGTGTCTTCCCTCCGTCTGACCCTCTCGTTTGCACCCTACCTGCAGGGACCCCTTTAAAGAAGCAGGTTCTCTTCCTCCCAACTCTGAGATCGGGTGGACGCTCACTTGCGCCAGAACTCGGACGAACATGCAGAACTGAGCCGACCTGCCATGGAAACTCGGGCTCCAGGCACTTTCAAATACTAGCAGCAGAGAATCACCCTATCACTGGCCGGATCTTTAAATTCTGCAGCCAGTCAGAGACAGGGGCGTGTCTCTCGTCCCCGCCCCCTTCCTTAGCTGGAGCTGAACCAATCGCCCGCTGGAGGGAGGAGGCTCATTGCGGCGGCGGAGCGCGCGCGAGTGGGCGTGGCGGGGG